CTCAAGTTGCTCCAAACCTGATATTTTAAAGAATGCTGGTAAGAGAACAGTTTCTGGTAGCCATTGACCTCCATAGTATAGAAAAAAAATACTATGGAAGTCAATGGCTGCCAGCAACTGTTTGGTTACCAACATTCTTCAAAATACCTTCTTTTGTGTTCAACAGAAGAAAGAAACTCATACAGGTTTGGAATAACGTGAGGGTGATTAAATGATGAGAGAACTGTCCCTTTAAGTCTTGTGTGTTAGTTTTAAGGGAAAGACATCGTACAGTACATCCGTGTAAAACACTGTAGGTTGTCAGTTTACTGTGAGTGTTAAACTCTAGATTATCTGTGGTATTTTAAAGCTTTTCGGTCATGGTGTTTGATCTGAAAGTGGAGCTCAGAAAACATTTCACCAGCATTTTGCACATTGCTTGATATGTTCTCCTCATTTTACTTGTTTCAGAGCCTAGAGAAACAAAAGATATTTCTGACAGTTCACTGTAACAGCGCTGCAGTTGAATGCTGCTTTATTCCTTTTCGGTTTATTTTTATATGTGTATAACTTGCATATATATATATATATATATATATATATACACAATATATATATTGTATAACTATGTATATAGTTTTATAAAATAAAAACCTCTGTGAGGTGCATTACATCTAATACATGCTTGTGTGGATTTAATCACATTTGAACAATGAATAAAAACAGGTTCAAAATATTTTTGCATTTATTTATTTTTTTTCCCAAATATGTGTTTTTGAAATAAGGTCTGAGGTGGATGCTGATAAAAGCTTCAACGACAGAGGTGAAGAACAGGGTATAAACAAAAATACATTGTTAAAAGTACTTTGCAAAAGATGAACCTGAACTAGACATTAAGAAAAAAAAAACAGAAAAAAAATGAAAGTTTAGAAATCTTTAATGCAAGACAAGATTTTGATGTTCAGTAAGTTGAATCATGTTATAGCGGTTGCGACAAGAGCGAAACTTCACTCTATTAAAACAAATCCCAGCTTTTGCTTAATCTGAGTGTCAAATTATAAATCATGGATCTGAATGTGAACTGTGCTCACTTAGACGATGAGGTGATTTAGTGAAACTCCTCCCACACGAAGAGCACTGGTATGGTTTTTCTCCAGTACGAGTTCTCTAATGAGTCCACTGGTGTGTGGAACTGAAGTAAGAATGAAATGTGTTTTTGGCTTTTATTTTTTCAGCATTGGAAAGAACCTAGCAACCACATAATACCTTAGCAACACCCTAGCAACCACATAACGACCACCCTGAACACCCTAGCTCCACCCACAACACCATAGCAACCACATAGCAACACCTAAGTAGCCACTCAGAACACACTAGCAGCTGCATAGCAACACCCTAGAAACAGCCCAGAATGCCCTAGCAACACCCTAGCAACAACCTTGTTCTCCATGGTGGGTTTGAACAAAACCAAAACTAGGAAGAGTTTGGCTGTGGACGGAAAGCTATCCTCCATCATGACGGTGAACATTTAAGTGGGAGCTTAACTGATAATGCTAGTGTTCATTTTAAGACGTCATACATCAAGTATCAGCGCTTTATATTTATTGTAATGCATTGAAGATAAATGGTTGTCATCATCTTTGTCCACTAGATGAGAGACAGAATGAAAAGTCAGAGATCTGATCTGAAGCTGAATGAAGATCATCAACTTTTGTAATAATAATAATATTCTCAGACTTTTACAATTGGCTTCAGGTCAAACTTTCATTGAGTTGAATAGATTATAATGCTTTAATAAGGATAACTGAATCTGTATATAAACTACTGAACATGTGCTCCTCCAAACAAGCCTTGAGCTTTATACAGTAGATGTGAGAATGATGTTGATCATGTGAGCAATAAACAGACAGTATAGAACTGGTTTAACTACATTAGTCAGTCTCTTTTTCCATGAGCACTTAACCTCAACTTGCACTTTGAGTTGCCCTTTCAAAAGAACGTCAGACATTGTCATTTTATGGAAAATGGAAATATTGGCAGTGTACAGAAGAAAATATAGCAGAATTTAATATGATCCTCAGACAGAATTTTCTTTTTTTGGGTGATCATCCCTTTCACTTTGTGGCCAATATCAATAATAAGATTTCACTGTTGCAATTCATGCAACATTTCATATCATAATATATTAGTTAAGTGCATTTCATGCTTGCTTCATGCCTTGTAAATATGCATTTCATAAATAACTTAATCTAACTGCTGCAGTCCTCCTAATTATTATAATTCTGCACAGCACTCTTTTGGGAAAAAGGGTTTTCAAATAGGCTAGATTATTTTAAACTGTCTGAAATTGCTGTTTGGAAACACAATAAAACCTCTCAAACATACATTAAGACACAATATAATGAAGGTTGGGGCATGCTGTTTGCATGCGGTTTGCAAAAATAATGCATTTTTCTGTTTGAAGTGTTTCATTAGTCATTATCATTGTCCATAAAAAGCAGGTTCCCATCATGACAACATACTCTGCAGGGTCTGTGTGTGTCAAATTAACTGTATACAGTGTTCCTGGGTAAACGACAGTGAAAATGTTCTAGTTGAGTTTATACAGACACGTACTTCAAAAATGACTTGACTTCAGTGGATTTAAAAGTGTGACAACTAGCCCCAGTATACCAACTACTGACTCTAGGCTATGTCTGCTTGTGTTAAACATGCTTTATCTGAACATGTTTTTAAAGACTTGTTTATTTGAAATGAGCAGAGAATAAAAACGGGACTGAAGATGATGAAGTGTGATGAACCATATCTGAAGCTAGAGGAAAAATCAGGAGAGCAAAGACAAAAACTCACAATTTGAAGAATCAGAGAAGAAATCCTTGAGACTTTATAGTCAGGAACAAACAAGACCAAACTGTGAGTGTTTTAACGTGACTTTTAGGTCATGCATAGGCTACATCTAAAAGTGCCATTTTAATAAAGATATTTAAATTTCTTACATTTTACAATTTCTTTACACACAGCTTTAGTCTGAAGAGTTGTCCAACTGTTTTCCTGAAGAATGGACGGATGGACCTTCAAAACTGAAAACATGGATTATAAATGTTTGATCTAAGAAGCTTTTATTTCTATGATTTATGGACAAAGTGACTAAAAGCATTTGGGCAGCCTCTATAAAACAAGCAAGATTTCTGTCAAGTGTCTTGTAAATACACCCTGATCTAAACAGATTTGCAATCTACCAGTACACTCAATGTGCTTGGATGTGACTGGCGCCATCTAGAGCAAAATAAAAAATATGCCCAGCAACAATTTTAAAGTCATAAAGCAGGACGCGTTATTGTTCAAGCACACATATTATATATTAACTCCAACAGAGTTAATCTGACTCCATTAACAGTGTTGTTATTCTTTAACCTCTTATTCTTTAAAGGTAAAACTCTTTCTTAGACTGATAGGAAAATGCAGGCTTTAACCTGAACATTTAGATAAAGTTAAAACCAGTTCAGCTTCCAACATTATCAGTGATAGAAGGAAAGATTCTCAAAGCTTCAAAGCAGACAGAGATGTGTTAAATCTTTATTTATTGCATGAGAGTGTGTGTGTGTGTGTGTGAGTGCGTGTGAGTGCGTGTGTGTGTGCGTGTGAGTGCGTGTGAGTGCGTGTGTGTGAGTGTGTGTGTGTGTGTGTGTGTGTGTGTGTGAGTGCGTGAGTGTGTGTGTGTGTGTGTGAGTGAGTGTGTGGATAAAACCGTTCAGGATGTAGTGAGAGAGAAAATAAACTACGTTTGAGCAAGAGTTCCTAGATTATAATCATGTTCACCACAATTCTAATCACACCACGGAAAATGATTTTCTTACTTTGTATTTTTGTCTTGTTTTCTAGAACATTCTTAAACCAAGATGCATTCACTTGAGAAGCAAAAAAAACATGGTTTTTGCTTAAAAGAAGAAGAAATATTTGCCAATGGGGCAAGAAAAATACTCTTATTTTGCCTTTGAGTTAATATTAAAGTACACATTAAAAATTACATGGAACTTTATATTTTTCTAATATATATATATATAACTATTATACTGTACTATTATACACACACACACATATATATCACAAAACAATAAAACTAATTATATATATATAAAGATAGTACAATTAATTGTTATTATATTTGCAATGTACTATTGATAATTGATGATTTTTCACCAGAGTGAAATAAACCAAAAGTACTATGGGGCATATACTATTACCGCAAAAATAATACATTCATATCTTGTTTTTATGTTTGGAAGACACTCATGATACACTCATGATACACTTGTGATGTACTTGTAACACAAAGAAGGTTCAATCTAGATAGTTCAATCTAATCAATCATGTGATTAGTATCTTCATGGGCTTAAAGTGTACTAAGTATACGTAAAGTTGTTCCACTTCAACACATAAAAGTACAGTAAATACACTTTAAACTCTGCTTTACTTCAATTTAATTACAACTCAAATATACTTAGTACAAAATTGGTTGTTCGAAAATGGCAAAATTGAAGTTAACTAATCATGAACACATCTGAAGTATACACTTAAGTACGCCAAAATGTAAAATACTTCTCATATATATTAAAATGCTTCTCGAAGATCAGTGCAAAGCATTATTAAACATGGAATGCAAACCCTAAACCAACTGAAATGAAATCAAATTTCTATTCTCCTCAATGCATGTTTGAGCAATAGACTATACATATTAAATTCAGCACAATTCTAATCAGTTTATAAGCTGTAATTGATATACTGAAAACTGGTAATGTATTGTCAATTATAAACACACTGGTCTATATAGCTCAAATAGTTTACTGCACTTTATTCTTCTAGATTGTCTTTTATCAATGCTAATGAATCTGAAGTCATGCACATGGAAAGATTAACTTACTTCCTCGTTGCATCATCGTCTGTTTAACTGGTTAGGCCTGTTGAGACTGTATTTAGCTTCGGTATAAAAGCAGAGCACACACACGAATGCAGACGCAAATGTCTGCAGCTGCTGACTATACAGCAAGGATTCTGTAGATGTAGCTCTTTACTTCTTCATGACATCTCTCTTCGTCTTACAGGTGAGAAACATGTTTCTAACACTTGATTTCATTCATCATTAAATCCTGCTTTTAGGCGCTTTATTCTCATACGGATGACTGGATTTTTGCCATTTTATTAGCAATGTTTTAATTTCTGCCACTTGTGAATGATTCAGTGCTTGTGTTATAACAGTGTACGTCTCTGTATTCCTCGTTTCATATTGCATAAGCTGGCTTTTTTTTAATTAAACTGCATTTGTGTGCATGATCACAGATACGAATGGAGTGTAAAAAGACAATAAAGCAAACAGAAAGCTGCTGGAGCAACAGATGAGCAAAAACCACGAGGACAGAGAGAAATGGAGGTCAGAAGTAAGACACAAACCTGTGAATCACAAGAGAAAAGCAGACAGATATCTGCTAGATGTGAGAGTATGGAGACACTAAAGCCGTACTGTAAGTGTTTGGTAATCATTCGTCACATTTCAGTCTCAGTCTCGCTTGATTGGCTGTTGTTTCCTTAAAGCTCTTGTCATTAAGTGGCACATTTATACTGATTCAAATGAACGAAACATTTACAGACAGTGTTTGAGTGACAGAACATGTTCTGATCAAGAACATAATAAATGAGGATAATCTTATATACGTTTGTGATTTCTAGTGTAATGTGATCCAGACGGACCTGTGACGTTTGATTCTGATGTTACAAGTGAGGTGAGATTCTCAACATCGAACCCTTCATCACTGACGTCCATCATCATCATCATCAGACTACCGTTGACCTCCAGCCTTCTGGAAGCTTTAACAGACTCGTCCGAGCACAAACACACTCAGCAAGAGCATCTTTCCCAGAGAACCTGCTGATGCTGCACTTTACTGTCAATCATACTGTGAACATTTGAGCTGCATCAGACAGAGACTTGTTTTTGTTTAACCAAATATTGGTTTCAATTGGCACTGCCTCATATTTCATGCATTTCCGTTTACTATGCACGTTGATTTATTTCATAGATTCTATCCACCTAATTTCTAACAGAATGGCCGTTTGTGAGCTGAATGCATCTGGCTTCCGGTCTCATGCACGCCCAGTTATTTTTAGCTGCACAAAACAGCTTGTTATGCTGTTTGATGTTGCAAAACCTCGTATTTACCATGTTATTTTAACGAATCGTCATTATAAATACACTGGTCTGTAGTGCAAATGGTTATACCATTTATGGCACTTAATTCTAGTTATTTCTATATTGCAGCTGATGCATCTGAAGTACCACACATTCAAAAAATTCATTTTGGTGGATATTTCTGTGTATATTTTTGTATCCTTCCATACCGTTTATATGTATTTATTAACTTTTCACCAACAATAATGATTCAGTATTTAGTTTCAAGCTATTTGTATACCGTCCTCCGTTCTCAAACTGCTTGTCATATCTAGGGTCATATTGATGCTGGAGTCAGTAACAGCATCTCAAAGCATGAAAAACTGTTGTTTAAACCCTCTCCAATGTAGATCTGTATTCACACAAAGAAACAGCTCAGTGTCTTCAGTTCACGGGACAGCAGCCGCGGCTCGTCTGAATGGACAAAACATTCATTCCCTGGAAATCAGAGCTCTAAACTCAATCTTAAATGCCTTCAGCATTCCTCAACAAGTATTTCTAGGTGCTTCTAGTTATGAAATCGTTTGTGATTTCTAGTGTAATGTGATCCAGACGGACCTGTGACGTTTGATTCTGATGTTACAAGTGAGGTGAGATTCTCAACATCGAACCCTTCATCACTGACGTCCATCATCATCATCATCAGACTACCGTTGACCTCCAGCCTTCTGGAAGCTTTAACAGACTCGTCCGAGCACAAACACACTCAGCAAGAGCATCTTTCCCAGAGAACCTGCTGATGCTGCACTTTACTGTCAATCATACTGTGAACATTTGAGCTGCATCAGACAGAGACTTGTTTTTGTTTAACCAAATATTGGTTTCAATTGGCACTGCCTCATATTTCATGCATTTCCGTTTACTATGCACGTTGATTTATTTCATAGATTCTATCCACCTAATTTCTAACAGAATGGCCGTTTGTGAGCTGAATGCATCTGGCTTCCGGTCTCATGCACGCCCAGTTATTTTTAGCTGCACAAAACAGCTTGTTATGCTGTTTGATGTTGCAAAACCTCGTATTTACCATGTTATTTTAACGAATCGTCATTATAAATACACTGGTCTGTAGTGCAAATGGTTATACCATTTATGGCACTTAATTCTAGTTATTTCTATATTGCAGCTGATGCATCTGAAGTACCACACATTCAAAAAATTGTGCTTCTAGTTATGAAATGACCAGGATATAATAAAATTGAGTGCATGGCTCCACCTTCAGGCTGAATAAGTCTCATTATATAATGTTTTTCTCATTTAAAAGCTATGGAAAGATGTAAAACAAGGCAATTATTTCTGTACAGAAAATGTGTACAGAAGAAATTACTTAATCAAGAAGAGAAGCACCTACTCAGAGAATGTATTATTTCAGACGCAGTCATATTGGCTGCGTTCCACTCCACTTTTAGACACGACCGCTCGAGAGTCTACTTCATATGCACACTTCGGGCCGCTCCAGAGACCTGACTCAGAACGTCCTGAGCCCTTGATCACTTTGAATCCGCCATGGAGTTAATTATTCACATTTTTTCCCTTACAAATTTGTTTGATGCAACATGTACACACTGTCAAAAATTACCGTGAATTTAACGGTAAAAGACTGTAAAAATGCTACAGTAAAAACCTGTTAAATGGTTAACGGTAAATTCCCTATATACGATGAAAAAATGTATTGGACATTACATGTATTGGACATTAATTTTACGGTAGTATACCGTTTTTGGAAGTGAAAAAGATCATTTACAGTGAATTACCGTAAATTGACATTCCCAGAATTTTTTGTTAAAATAACTATGTTTCTTAGTTTTTTTCTTATCAGTTTTGTATATTAGGGTTGTGTGTTACACCTAATGTTGTTAAATGAATGTTTACTGCATTATTTCAGTTTCATGTGTGTCACCGCGATGGTGTTTAGTGTCTGTGCACCTTCTATATATGTTATTATTTAAAAGCTGCTTGTGATGGGCTTTGGTTCATCATGTGACTTTCTCATCACCTCCTGCATTTGGTGGTTATCAGTGTATTACAAAGATACAAAACAGATTTCAGTACTTCAATAGGTTGGTATATTAACAGTATATCAGTTAATGAAATTACGGTATTTAACTGTAAATTTAAGTTAAAACCGTAAAACCTAAAACGTTGCTACCGTATTTTTTACGGTAAAATTCCGGTAACCACAGCTGCTGGTTTTTTACCGTAAAATTTTACGGAATTTTTTTTACAGTGTATAGGTATGCTTGGGCTGTTATAAATGTTTTTTAAAAATAATTAATATTTTATAGAGTTGTATGGGGTGGGGATAACTTAAACGCGATCTGCGATGACTTCATAATCATCAATATCATATTTGACAAACACAAAAATAGCATAGGCTATGAGTAACATTGATCAGTTCACTCAGTTCATGTGTAGAACTCAACTGATAGAACATTCATTTGTTGAAATCTGAATAAGAATATTCTGAAATCAGAATACTGCTGAAAATGATCTCTAAAAGACAAATGTGATTATAGCACATTCGACAACAAATAGGCTAAAAAAAAGTGAATAAGCGGAACTTATAAAATGTAACCCTATTTGAAAGTTACAATATGTTATGGCTTAGTCCTCTGCATCTAAATTGTGCTCCTCTCATCCGTTCTTCACTTCACAGACTGAACTTCATGCCTAGCCTTCCTTTCTTTCATCTCTGGCTTGAATTTCCTGACCACACACTGATTTCTGCTGCCTAAAAAAGTTATCTATAAAATAACCAGTGAATATCAATTTATTTAATGAATTTGAGCATAATTACTGAAGGTTAAAGTCACCACTTTACCTGAATCCGTCTGGCCCACATTATCTAACACATTCAGAGAAAGTGGGCCAATAATATTTAAAAACCTTAAAAGAAAACCAACACATTTTTAACACGGAGCAGTTTTAGTTCTTTTAGCAGTTTTATCAGTACCACTTAGTGAATGAGACTGAATACTAGGCCTATATAATGAATATTTGAGGAGTTCCTGACACACGACTGAGTGCTTTTTATTGTTAGACACACGACTGGGCATTTCCAGCATAAGTGCAGTGCAAACATCTTTAACTTTAAATACACCTGATTGACTGAACATCTGCAGCTCATTAGTGACTTAAATACCAGAGGAAGAGCTCAAGACATACTGCATACTGTGTTTGCATACTCTATCACAGATAAAGTGAATTAAATGCAATATTTGTCAAATATACAGACCTTTCAGAAACGTTTTCATGAGCAACAGATATATACTGATTATATACCGCTTAATACATCGCCATCTGTTCAAGAATAAAGTTAAACGTAAATATATACTTTTTAAATACTAATAAAGTGGGGGAATGTATGCTTTTATCAGTGTTTTATGATAAACGTGACTCAATATAACAAAGAAACGCATTTCAAAATTTGTCATTAAGATCTATCCAGTTTCCAATTTTCTCTAGAACACTTATTTTTTACCTGCTCCTCCATTTCATGCCAGTTCTGGAGTGATGTTAGAGACTGGCTGAATCTAAAAATGTCAAACATCCTTGTATTTAACATCAACTATATCCTGTTTTATGTTGATGATTTAGATCATTCAATATCAGACATTGTGAATATTGTTTTCCTACTTGCCAAATATCATATACATTGTTGTAAGTGGAGAGACTGCTTGGTTCATTTCATGAACGAATTTAAACTATTCTACTCCTCACTGAGATTACTTAAAAATGGTCGTGCACCGAAAATATCATCGGACATGTCCAAGTTTCTTGCGTTTAAAAATATATATATATATATATTTTTTTTTTGCCTTACATGTATTGTGGATCCCCTTAAGGTTTGATGCTGATTGTTATTGTATTTGGTTTTATTCTATGCTGTTACCTCTATGAGTTCTTGTATTCTATGTTTAATAAATAAAATACATAAAAATAAATAAACCGAATGTCTTCCGCGTCCGCACGTAGTTCGTCTATTTTCGGACTGCTTCGGGTTGCCAGGTTTCCACAACAAAACCCTCCCAAATGCTACTCAAAACTAGCGTTTCGAGGGGGTTCTCCTGGTACAATTCGCATTCCAGGGGCTACATATCACGTTATTTTGGTCGCTTCAACCCGCGGACATGAAAAACACCCCGCGGCAACAGTGTTACAGTAGCCCAATCCCACGGGAAAACCGCGGACCTGGCAACACTACACTGCTCGCCTCCAGACCATAGACTGTATAAAAACATGGACGTAGTGTCCGTGACGTCACCCGTAGAGTTCCGATGAGCCTTTTTGAAGCTCAAAAGTGGGCGGAGGCGGCCGTTGCCATCTTTGCAGCGCGTCACCGCGCGTCACTCCCGGATAATCGAAAATGGGCAAAAAGGCGGGAGTAGGTTGCTGAAACCACGCCCACTTAGCTCGACGGCAGTGTCAGAAGCGGCAATCCACCTGTCACTCAAGTGGCCACGCCCTTAATTATGCAGAAATTTAAGGCTTAATATAATTTAAACAAATGAGTTATAAAAAAATTCGCCCCCCTCACAGTTGTCATGAAGGGCAAAATTAGCTATATAGACCAAAATAATTGTTTGAACCAGGCTGTAAACATGTTTTTTTCTGCTGTAAAGTTAGGCACTTTAACATGGGGAGTCTATGGGATTGACTCCCTTTTGCAGCCAGCCTCTAGCGGTCTGTGAGGCAAGGGAGGGGGAGACTTTTATTTTTTAAACGCATTTTTGCCCCGTTTGTGTTGTTTTACAACTTACACAATTATTTAAAGTATAAAACATTGTTATTTACAATACACAGACTGGTTTTTAACCATATTTTTATTGGGGGACAACCCCTGACTAAAGTCACAATCTGATTGTGGCAAGATGAATTCTTTGCCTCAACATGCCTTTCTCACTGAGAACTTTAAGTATGATGCAGGTTTCACTGTTAAACAAACCACAGGTTATTTTAACATGCTTAAAACGGATTTTGAAAGACTGAGTTGTTCTGAAAAGCTGTTGGATGAGCCACTGACAATTCATTTGTCAAAGTTTCATACAAATAT